CAGCAGGAGCCCAGAGTCAGGGTTTAGCTCCATCACTAAAGAGCCTGAAGGAGGCAAAAGAGGCTCCTGCTGCTGAACTAGAGTCTGATAGCTTATGAATGGAGAATTTTAGTAAGTGTTTATCTGGTAGCCCTTTGGGAAGCACTTTTGTTCCAGAATATATCCACTAGGCTCTCTCTGTCCCTAATTTGGGGGCTAGAGGAGGGGAGCCTACCTAGATGTGCACGGGGATAGAGCTGTTTCTCCTTACCAGGCCCTTCCTGAGCCAGGTCCCACAGCTCAGAAAGGTCTTGCCAGTGCGTTCGTGCACAAAGCAGGGATGCAGCTCTTCAAAAACCTTTCCCTGAGAGGGACCCAAGCCTTCTACCTTCGATTTCCAGTCTGGGGTCCTTCAGCATTTGCTTTTCCTTACTGTCACTGCAGCCAGCTGTCCCCATCATCTTCGTCAGCTGTCTCCGGTGTTTGTGGTTGCAATTCCCATGTTTTCAGCTGGTTCATGCTATCTTGCACCCCACCAGATTAGCAAGGGTCCCACGTTTACCTGCGTGTTCCTGGCCACCGTGGTAGCACCCACTGTCCACTTCTCCACCACCAGACTCAACTTTGGAACGTGCTTCATCTACCATGCTGGGATGACACCTGCCCAGCAGACCCTTGTCATCACAAACAACGCAAACAAGGATATGAGGTAGGCCTTATCCACACACTCCTTCGACCCTTGCTTAGCATGTCCCTGGTCTGTGTCCTCATGACCACTGTGGGTGAAGTCCTGAAGATGCAGGGAGAGGAGGTGGAAGAGCTCCAGGTAGCTCTGTTGTTGTTGTCTGAGCACATGCAGCCTTGTGACACCTCTGCTCCTCTTTGCTGTGCTTTTTGCCAGTTTGAACTGCTTGTTCAGCAACACCATGTACCTCAAGGTGGACTTTGCAGTGCACATCCTATGCCCAGGAGGAACGGTGGAGGTCCCCATCACTTTCTGTCCCAGAGAGGTTGCATCTTACCGTGAACTCATCCCTATTGAAATCAATGGTGTTTACCAACAGACCATTGAGGTCCGAGGAAGAGGCATAGAAATGAAGGTGAGATTAAATCCAAATCCTAAAACTTCAGGTGGCAGGCAGCCAGCATGGCTTTCTCATTTTCCTCATCTCTTCCCCAGCCTACCATGTTTTGGTTTTCTGCCATAAGGATGGCAGAAAACCTTTTCTCCTTCTTTCCTTTCACTTTATATTAATCTCTCCTGCCTCAGGTTGATGTTGTGGAACCACAAGGAAAGGTAGTAAAGCTGGGAGCCCTCTCCATCGGACAGACGGTGAAGAAGATTGTCACCATAGCAAACAACAGTGCTGCCCCTCTCACTTTTAAGCTCAGTCTCACGTCCACCATGCCAGAGCTGCAAGAAGCTGGGGTAAGGCCCCTTCCTTCACTGGAGAGCACTTTGGTGTGTGCCTGCAGGTAGCTATGAACTGCTCTGAGCAGGAGCTAGTAGCTAATTACAACGATGTCCTGTCCCGGCTGCCTGCATGCTGTCCTGTCCTTGCTGCTGGGACTGCTCTACCAGCAGATACTTGCAGTGTGAATGCCTCAGCTGAGCTGGATGTCGGGACCCCCCTAAGAGACAGAAGTGAGGTGGTACAATTCCCCTAGCCTGTTTTAGACATATACATTAGGATGCAGCCATGTATTTTAGATCTGGAAAGGTAAGGGAAATAAAGATTAAGAGTTAAAGCTCTCTTGAAGCTTGCATGAAATTACTTCAGAAGACATAGTTCAGCTCACTGTGGCCAGACGGAAACATCACAAGAAAACACCTTTGGTGTTACCTAGGAATGTGTATGTGGGAATGAGTGGGATTGGGGCAATGTTGGTGGGGACAGAACAGGAATTGGAAGACTGACTAGTGTGGGAGGATCCACAGATGAAGCAGTCTCCACTCATTTCTTTGGGCAGGTTCTCTGCTTGAAGCCCACCACCGAATTAAACCTGAAGCCCAGAGGAGAAACCTGCAAAGTGGAGGTGACCTTCTCCCCAAGGCGCCGCATCCAGCCTTTCACTGAAGAAGTGATGTTGGAGTGCAGCGGGCTGGTGCGCTCTCTCTTTGTGCTGCGGGGCTCCTGCCAGGGCAGCCTTGTCAGCTTGGACCAGGACCACCTCAGCTTTGGAGCTGTGATGCAGCAGAGCTACGCGTGCCGGCGTGTCATCATGCGGAACACGGGCGACATAGGAGTCAAGTAATGCAGAACCCCATCCCCTCTGAGGGCTGACAGTTTGCATGGAGCTGTAGCTTGCCCAGATAGTTCCCCTCTGCTTTTCCATCCCAGTGGAGGGATCCCCGAAGCTGTGCAGTCAGGCCCTGGCAGTTAGCAAGGGGGTACAACCAAAGGGGATAACAACCAGAAGCTTCTTGGCGCAGCTAAGTCCTGCCCAGCCTGAAGCCTGATTGCCGGGTGCCTTAGCATCATGCCCAAGATGTGGTGGAAAAGATCACAAGATATTTGCAAACAGCACACTGCATTTGCAGCCTCCCAGTTGCTAATCCTTCTTTTCTGTCCTTGTGCTTTCCTTGGCAAGGTTTAAGTGGGACATCAAGAGCTTCAAGCCGGATTTCTGCATCAGGCCCACAGAGGGTTACATCTCTCCAGGCATAGTTGTCCCTTTTGTTGTGACCTTCCGCCCCTCAAAGCTGGGTCAGGCTGTCCAGTACGATGGGCTGCAGTGCTTCATCCAGGGCAGTGAGCCACTCCAGCTTACGCTAACAGGATGCTGTGTGGAGGCCCCTGTGATCAAAGAGGTAACTGGAGCAGAGACAGGATGGATCCCATCCCACCTGTACCCCACCGTTTGCACCACTTCTCTCCCAGGGCAGGGGCTGGAGGACACAATGTGCACAGACTCACTCCTGCCTGGGTATCCTGGAGAGCTGAGGAATCCGCTGGGCAGGATTCTTAAAATTCCTGAGCCCTGTTAAAGGTGCTGTTCCTCCAGTGAGCAGCTCGGCTGCGCTGGCTCTACGCTGCAGCACCCTTGCCACAGGGACACCCTGCAGGGCTCTTCTGAGACCCTCCCCACAGAGCCACCCTGCTATACTCCCAAAATTGTACACCCACAGCCACTCTTCTCCCTGCTGGGACAGGGGAGGGCATTCAGCACTAGGAGTGGGCAGGGCGCCTGCATCAGGGCCTTGGGGCACAGGGATGCAGTGGGGAGGACTCCTGGCCCTCACAGGCAGTGCAGGACAGGGCAACTTGGGAACTGTTGGCTCTTGCTCCCAAAAGAGAGTCCAGAGCTGCTCTTCTGCCTGTCCATGAAGGGTCTGTGCAGCTATAGGTCTCCTCCTTGAACAGGAGAGTTTCCTTCCAGGACTCTCCATTTTCTGTCACTCAGCATGTGAAAGGATTGTTCTCCCTTCTGTAAGAATAAATAATTTGATTTACTACAAAAGCTGTGGCCCAAGTGGAAATTTTACACGTGACAAGGAAAAGCTGCTCTCTGTGCTTTGGGTCCTGGTGTAGAGCCAGTGTGAGAAGAGTAGAAAGGGTTCCTTGGTATGACCAAGCAGCCTCTGTGCTCCTCTGTTGCAGACCTTGACTTTCACATGCAATGTGCGTGAGCAGCAAACCCAGACCATCCTCCTGTCCAACCCAAGCAATGAGGCCTGGACTCTGCAACCCATCATTGAGGGGGAACACTGGAAGGGGCCTGAACTTTTCCATCTAGAGGCCAGTCAACAAAAAAAGCCCTACAAGATCACCTACGCACCTCTAACCATGAGCTCTGAGAATATGAACCATCAGGTAAGTGAGCTGTGCCAGCATGCTGACCCTCCCAGCGTGACCCTCATAGCTCACCCTGCTTTGGGCAGGAGTTTGGACAAGAGGTCCTTCAGAGGCCCTGTCCAAGCTGAAGGTGTCCTATGATCTCTGTGGAAGCTGCTTTCTTGATAGCTAGAGGCCAGGCACAGAGAAAGGGCAGGTGGGAAGTCTGGACTGACTACTAACCACGTTGGAGCAGCTCACCTAAAAAGCCAGGCTTTCTGAAGGTCTGGTTAGTTTGGTGCAACTCCTGGTCCCTGCCTGTGCAGCATGAGGGGTCTCAGAGGGCCCCGTGCTCAGCCTTGTGGGCTGCACAGGTTCCCCAAGCCCTGGCACAACCACTTGTGCCAGCACTGCTGTGCTGGTGTCCTTTTCCAGCATGCAGGGAGCAAGGGCAAGGCTGCCCTGCAGTTTCTCACTGAGCTCCTGGCCGTGAGCAGTCAGGTGGGAAACAACACTGCGAGCTCTCCTGACATCCCCTTCAGTAGTACAGGAACTTTGGAAAGAGCCCTTCCTGCAGGACTCAGGCTGGGCACGTGGGGGTGATTGACCCCTTTGTTTCCATGGGTGGTATTTTCTGTGTCAGACCAGGGAGAAGCCATAAATCAAAGGGGTCAGTTCAGAAGGATTCTGGGGTGCTGGAGCTGCTGGGGTCCTTGTCCCACTCCAGCTGACCTTACCCTAGGCCAGAAGTTAGACCAGAGCGGAGGCCACCGATTTCTGTGCTCAGTCTCCAGGGTGCTAAGCTGATCTGGGCCCTGTAGGGTTGCAGGTGCTCAGTACCTCTTTAACGTACAGCCTTGCATGAAGAGCGCTGCAGTTTTCAGCTGCTCCACAGGCAGCTGACTGTGACCCATTGGCACCCAAATTGAGTATGGATACAAGCTTTTCATGGCCCACCTGGCTGTAAGCTAGCACCCTGTTGTGCCGGTTTACAGGCTGCTGCCTTGGCAGTAATGTTGGGGCTAATCCCAGCATGGCTGGGGCAGTCCAGGTTAGCAGGGACTGACACCCCCCTCACTATGGCTGTCCCTGCACGAGCAGAGGACTGGCAGCAGTTGTGTCCGGGTTAGTCAGGCAAGTAAAGGAGTGTTGGG